TTAAAGATAAATAGGTAGCACCTTTTAAGAAAGGTTATCGTTAACTGATGATCATGTTGTCATCATCAATTGTAATTGTAATTGAACTGCTATAAAGATGTCCAGCCGATTATTGATACCTTGCTTTATAACGATGACAAATGTCCGCCAAAAACCATTATTAAATAACGATTTTATTTATTATAACTTATATTTTCCAATGTGTAATGTATGTAACAAGTGTACAAAATATCATTACGTATTTATCCAATTGCTTTGCCAGTGTATTTTTTCTCCTATAACCCTAAAAAGTCTAAAATAAAATTGAATATGGCGCCAAATTGAAAGCTAGGTGTCTCAGACCGCAAGAGCGCTGCCAGCGGTGCTAAAAGAGTGGGAGTTCTAAATAGTATGTAGTTTGTGGGTTTATCTAAATGCATAGAAGAAAGGTTAGTTTACGATAGTTTTGAAAATCTGTTAGTATAGAAGAAGAAGAAGAAGAAGTCCAAGTGATGCGCAGATAAATTTCAAAGTTTTTTTTGCAAATGACCTGATGATGGTAAACGGATGAAACTTTCAGTGCGCACGGAACTTAACTCTATCTGGTGCATTAAAATCGAAGTCTGAATTGGCCATTTCGTGTGTGTCTCGTGTCTAAAAACCAATTCAAATTCGCACAAAACCGGCAGGAACTTGACATTTGCAGCTGAAAAGGAGCTGTTTTCTCTTTCAAATTGTGTAAAAAAATGCTCAGTCGCATTCCAACTTCGAGGACCAGCTATTTAAAAAACTTTTACGAGAAGGTCTGAAATCGCGATTTCGAGCCAATTTCATTTAAAAATTTATAGAAAATCGCAGGAAAATCGGTAGGAACTGGAAATTTGTAGCTGAAACGAGTGGAGTTTTTTCTTTTAAATCGTGTTGAAATGAATGCTGTCGCATTCCAACTTCGAGTACAAGCTTTTTTTACGCTTACAAGAGCTTAAACTGATCCGTCATTTTTCCCTGCCAGTTGAGCATAACCCGACTTAACTTGCCTTGTTGACGTTTACGAGTTGTCCCCAAGTGGGGAGGCAGTTTGTTTTATGCAAAACAATTTAAATATCTAATGAGGCTCTATTATATGAATATCCGGCGGTCTCAAAAAGCTCACATTGCTGCCGGTCATGCACACTGCACATTTTCACGCGTTACTTCCATATTATAAGAACACCAGTTCATTTAAAAGTATAAAAACCCAAGCGAAGGTAATTTTCATTCAAACATTGTATAACTATGTAAAATTGTAATCACCATAAATCTTTGTTCGTAATTTTGTTATCTATCGCAGATAGGGCCCATACGTGGGCGTTTGGGTGTTAGTGAGCTTCAAATGCGAATAACCCCATTCTAGTTCAATTTCAGCCACTGCAATGAGTATATTGAGGCACCTTTCAGCCATAGGCTGGCACCGTATGCTGGTGCTGTTTCTAGCCATATGGTTGTTGGTTGTCTTGCTCCTGGCCTATCCAGGCATCAATTCAGCCAACACTTTGGACCCCAAGTCCACTGAGAAGCTGGTCAGAGCCCTCACGGACTTGGAGGCGCTTCGCAAGCAAAACCAGGAATTAAGGGACATTTTCAACGACATAAGTCTCAAGTAGGTAGTCGAAATGGGGGTCCCTGAAAACGTATTGACAATCAGTTTACAGCAACATGAACGACGAACAAAAAGAGGCGATAGAGAACTTTCAGAAGCGCCTAACTAAAGCGGAGCACCCGCTGCAGAACAACGGCCTGTATTCCCGAAGCCTCAAAGAGGAGCCGAATCTCGAGTACGAACTGCTGAGACGGCGAATTCAGGCCAATACCAAAGAGTTTTGGTATTACGTGCGCTCTAGTCTTTTGGACCTTCAAAATAAAGCCACTCCAGCATCCGAAACCGTCGATATTATTGAGCAAGTGCTTTCGTTAGGCGCTGAACACCAACGGTAACATTCCCTAAAATTTAATGCTCCGAGTTTACCCTGATGACTTTCCAGCTCGCTATTGTACGACATTGACCAGCTAGCTGCGGCTGATGGATACGCGGAATGGAGGCAAAAGGAGTCGAACGACTTGAGCAATCTAGTACAAGTCAGGTTCAAGCTGCTGCAAAACCCACCGGATTGCAACAAAGCCAAGAAGCTGGTCTGCAGCTTAAACAAGGTGGTAGAACCGTGCAGGCCTCAGCACCAGGCACTAATTGGATGAGTTTAGGGCTGCGGCTTTGGGTGCCAACTGCACCATGCAGTCTACTGCTTCATGCTGGCTTACGGCACGGAAAGAACTCTGATCCTCAAGTCAAAGGGTTGGCGCTACCACAAGGGCGGCTGGGACGAAATCTACTTGCCAATCAGCGACACTTGCACGACTAATAAAGGCGGCAGCATGACTAGTTGGCCTGGTCACGCTGACACTCAAGTAGTCAATCTGCCTATAATTGATAGTCTGTCGCCCCGGCCACCTTTTCTGCCCCTAGCTATTCCAGAGGATTTAGCACCACGGTATGACCGTAAATAATGTGGATTAGATCCATATGGAACTATGTACTAAATAATTGCTAACTTACAGATTGACGCGTTTGCATGGGGATCCGGCAGTTTGGTGGGTGGGCCAGATTTTAAAATACCTGCTCAGACCGCGCGAGAAAACCGCTAGTATGATACAGAAAGCTATGAACAAACTGGGCTACGAAAAGCCGATAGTGGGGTAAGAGTCGCTTTTCCCAGGGCTCCAAGGAGTTTTTCGTGACGCCCTTTGTTTTTTTAAGGGTGCACGTTCGGAGGACCGACAAGGTTGGAACCGAAGCGGCCTTTCACCCCCTCGAGGAATACATGGTGGAGGTGGAGGAATATTACAATCAACTGGAGCTCAAAGGGCCCGTGATCGTGCGGCGCATTTATTTGGCTTCGGACGACCCCAAAGTGTTGAGCGAGGCGAAAACAAGGTATCCGCAGTACGAGATCATTTGCGATCCGCAAATATCCAAAACCGCCGCTGTTTCCACTCGATACTCCGATACTTCACTGTTTGGCATCATCTACGATATCCATATGTTGGCCCTCAGTGACTTTTTGGTGTGCACATTCTCCTCCCAAGTAACTATTTCCAAATTCAATCGAAAAAGCTTAATTTAACTCGGGTAAATTGCAGGTTTGTCGGATTGCCTACGAAATAATGCAAATGTACCACCCGGACGCGGCGTCCAAGTTCAAATCTCTGGACGATATTTACTATTACGGCGGCCAAAACGAGCATCATGTGGTAGCCGTGTGGCCGCACGAACCGAAAAAAACTGGAGACATGCAAATGCGATCGGGCGACTTAATCGGTAAGAATCATCTATCTCCATCCCTCATAAGTCAACTGTTTCATGCCTTTAGGCGTGGCAGGGAACCATTGGGATGGCTTCAGCAAAGGCAGGAATTTGCGAACGAACCAGATCGGTTTGTACCCGACGTTTAAAGTGAAGGATAAAATAGAGACTGCAAAGTTTCCGACTTATTCCGAAACGGTTGAATCTCAAGAGGAGCACAAGTGAAGGACAACGAAAATGGTGTTGACAACAAAAGTGCACAATAATTGATCGCACAGGCGACAGATATAATATTAAAAGCAAAACGTGATAACCCCCCCTCTTGTTGGTTGTTGGAATGGTTCTAGCGATCTAGGAGCGCGGCTCTCTACTAACACTCATTTACGTAATTAATTTGAACAAATCCCTTGTACAAATGCGACAAACTCCTTCAAAGTGCAATTTTATTTCGAACATTAGCTAAGCTCAATGGACGTATAAGGACAAACGTATCGGTGTTTACGTAATTATAGTGTGCAATAACAATAATGTATACAGTGGATGGGTTTTATTTTTATGGCCCATTGAACTGGTGGCAATTTGTGGTGCGAGTTGACCCTGACTTGACTTTAATTCGGCCACTCTGTATTCGATAACGGTATTCCAAATTCACAGAAGATTAAATTTGTTTCCGTCAATCTACAGAGTGTTCAAAAATATGACAGAGAAGCATTGAACGTTCAGTTCAGACTTTATCTCATCAGGATACAAATTTCCAGTGCCACTATCCTAAACAAACTCAATTTTTTCCACATTTTTTTTAAATTTTTTATTTATTTCTTCATTTCAAATTACATTCGATAGATACATGCACATGTATAAAGAATACAAAA